TACAGCGTTTCGTGCCCCCCTCCCCCTCCTCCCTGCGTTTCCCCTACACAGTACAGGGCTTGGGGCCCCATAGGGAGCACCACCGAAGGTCCCAGTGCTACCGTCCGCATGCGTCCCGCACACCCAGTACAGCGTTTCGTGGCCCTCCTCCCCGCCTTCCCTGCGTTTCACCCACCCAGTACAGCGCTTCGTGGCCCCATAGGGTGCCCCACCCAAGGTCCCAGTGCTAACGTCCGCATGCGTCCCGCACACCCAGTACAGCGCTTCGTGGCCCAATAGGGAGCACCACCGAAGGTCCCAGTGCTACCGTCCGCATGCGTCCCGCACACCCAGTACAGCGTTTCGTGGCCTTCCTCCCCCTCCTCCCTGCGTTTCACCCACCCAGTACAGTGTTTCGTGGCCCCATAGGGAGCCCCACCAAAGGTCCGAGTGCTACCGTCCGCATGCGTCCCGCACACCCAGTACAGCGTTTCGTGGCCCCATAAGGAGCTCCACCGAAGGTCCCAGTGCTAACGTCCGCATGCGTCCCGCACACCCAGTACAGCGTTTCGTGGCGCTCCTCCCCCTCCTCCCTGCGTTTCACCCACCCAATGCAGCGTTTCGTGGCCCCATACGGAGCCCCACCGAAGGTCCCAATGCTACCGTGCGCATGCGTCCCGCACGCCCTGTACAACGTTTCGTGGCCCTATAGGGAGTCCCACCGAAGGTCCGGGCGCTACCGTCCGCATGCGTCCCGCACACCCAGTACAGCGTTTCGTGGCCCCCAGGGAGCTCCACCGAAGGCTCCAGTGCCCCCGTCCTCATAAGAAGCCCAGAAGCCCAATTCGGCATTTTCACCAACCCAGTGCAGCGCTTCGTGGCCCCATAAGGGGGCTCCACCCAAGGCTCCAGTGCCACCGTACGCATGCGTCCGGGGAGTGTAATTTGGCATGTCCACCCGCGGAGTGCAGCGTTTCGTGGCCCTAGAAGGGGGCTCCACCGAAGCCCCCAATGGGACCGTTCGCATGCGTTCCGAAAACCCAATTCGGCATTTTCACTCACTCAGTAGAGCGATTCGTGGCCCCATAGGGAGCTCCACCGAAGCCCTCAGTGGGACCGTCCGCATGCGTCCCGGAAACCCAATTCGGCACACCACCCACACAATACAGCGTTCTCGCCCGCCCAGTGCAGCGCTTCGTGGCCCCATAGGGAGCTTCACCGAAGCAGATATTCACAATTGCGGTACCCACAACTGCATATGGTTGGGACCTTCGCCAGGATCATTTTTGCTGACGTTTTCGAGAAAGCACTTTTGCGAATAGTCAAAAACGCCTGATGAGCCAAAGGACAAGCAGACTGGTAATGACGGAACTTGCCACGAGGTTCCGGACACAGACGCTCGCACAGGCAGAAGCAGAGACGACCCGAGCGGCGCAGAGCGAGCATCGGAGAAAGCTGCACCGCGGGCACCTGATCACCGCTCCCTGGAACGGCCGCATCCCCTGTCAGGAGGAAAGAACCCAGCATCAACATCAATCTTTCGGAGGCCTGCGCGGACATCCTGAATCGGTGCTGGGCCCCCACCCTGGCGCGCGGAGCACGTCAGGGCGGCGCCGAGGGCGCAGCTAGGGGGATCACATACATCGCAGATCCAAGAATCCGTACGCACCTCCGAATGGTTGTGCTTATGTGGTAGTTGTGCTCTTCTTGGGCCTGTGGGAACAGCTCTGCGAACTTCGCGAAGCGGTCGAAGGGGTCACACCGCATGGGCAGGTCTGGGTAAAAGAACCCGAGCGAGTGCCACTGCCGCATCTTATCCTGAGAGGTCAAGCGGTACAGCAAACATGCGTGCATTCTGTTTAAAGTCTGATGGCGCTTGGGAAAAAACGCGAGGGATCGACTCAGAAAATAGCTTTCTGCTGTTAGGAACGATCCAATAATCGCAATGACGACGTCGACGCCCACGTGCAGATCTGGAATCCCATGCACGTATCATCGCCCAGGACGCTGCTGTGTGGCGTCTCTCGGGCAGATCTGAATAATCACCTTACATTCCACAGAGATCTGGCGACATGTTGTTGTTTCATCCGCTGGCCCCGCTAGCCTCGACCACTTCCCCTGGTAATTGCTCGTCCCATCCAAAAAATTGCTGGTCCCAGGGCCTGAGCTCGTCCCTTGGAAGCCAAGGCCATCGCCCAGACTGGCAACACACATCGTTCGGATGTCTGGGTATATTGGCGTGCTCTCACTGTCGCTGCCCTTGAATGTCTTGAGCAGGAACCGACCGGTCTGGAATTCTTGTGGATTATCCCGGCAAAGCAACCTAACAGCGATGTGTAGAAGCATATATGAAAGCATTCCCCTTAAGATTCAGATGAAAATCCAGTTGTAGAATTCTGCTGTTCTCGCAGTCGTAGTCGCATTCGCGATGACAGTCGCAACGGCAACGGCAGTCGCAGTCACAGCCTCAGCCTCAGCCTGCCTCAGCCTCAGCCTCAGCCTGCCTCAGCCTCAGCCTGCCTCAGCCTCAGCCTCAGCCTGCTTCAGCCTCAGCCTCAGTCTGCCTTCAGCCTCGGCCTCAGCCTCAGCCTGCCTCAGCCTCAGCCTGCATCAGCCTCAGCCTCAGCCTCAGCCTGCCTCAGCGTCAGCCTGCTTCAGCCTCAGCCTCAGCCTGCCTCAGCCTCAGCCTCAGTCTGCTTCAGCCTCAGCCTCAGTCTGCCTTCAGCCTCGGCCTCAGCCTCAGCCTGCCTCAGCCTCAGCCTGCGTCGGCCGCAGCATCAGCCTGCCTCAACATTCAAAATGTGGCCCAAGAATGGAGTTCTGGGAAATAGAAGAACACGAAGTGGCCTACAGTTGGCTCCGGGCATTCAAAATGTGGCCCCGGAATGGAGTTCTGGGAACTTGAAGAGCACGAAAGGGCTACAGTTGGCTCCGGGCATCCAAAATGTGGCCCGGGAATGGAGATCTGGGAAGTCGAAGAGCACGAAGTGGCCTACAGTTGGCTCCGGGCATCCAAAATGTGGCCCGGGAATGGAGTTCTGGGAGGGCGAAGAGCACGAAGTGTGTGACTGTTGGCGAAAAGCGAGCCCGGCTCTGTTCCCGGTTCTCCAGAATGTGGCCCGGGAATGGAGTTCTGGGAGGTCGAAGAGCACGAAGTGTGTGACTGTTGGCGAAAAACGATTCCCGGTTCTCCTCCCCGGCACCCGCCCCGACCCCCCTGTGGAGTCATCTGCTGCTCTCTTTTGACCCTACTAGAAACCTATCAGCAAAAGCTGTTAGGTAACTACCAGAAAAATGCTCTGATGGCATCAGAGCAGTGGCCTTCGAACATACCAGCGACATAGCAAGCCCATGCTGCGGCAGCAAGGTAAGTTGTATCAAAAGTGTGTCCTAACTGCCGGCATGTATTTAAGCACGTTTGGGTGGGCCTGTGGGCAGACCAGGGCGCTTCGACACTGATCGATGATCGAACGCAGCCGAGCCAGACCGCTCAAACATCTTCTGCCGACGCTGCCCCTCCAAGCATGGCCCTAGCAGCGCGCGCCGATTGCACATCGAGTGCCCTGGCGTTCGTCCGACTTCGCACGCTCCCACTGATGATACGAGCAGGCAATCACATGTGAACCCTACACCTGCAGGGCAGATTTCTGAAACGCGGGCTGGGGTTCAGAATTCAATGGACCTCTGCAGCAAGGTGAGCCCCACCAGGGGTGTCCGATACCCCAGCGTCGAGTGGACCCGTAGGGATAGGGTTCGCAGCTGCCGCAGATAGGACGTCCACCACCACCCTTGCAGCGACTGGCAAAATCAATCAGAATCGAATTGAGACATCGGATCGGGTCGGCATGTCTATCGAATCGAACCGCATCGGCCCGGAGTCGGAATCGAATCGGATCCACCGCGCCAAGATGCTCAGCGACGCCATGCGAACCGTGGGAATCTAAGGATCGAATCGGCTCGGGCTGGTCGGTACCGACATCGAATCGGATCGATTGGATCACGATGGTCCCCGCTTGTCTCTCTAGTGCGACGCAAGACTTCAAGCCCCCACGACGCATAGGGTCCACCGTGCGCTGATCTGTCTGGCCACATCCCGCACTCCTGTGCCCTCTGAACGAACGTGGTGTCAACATCCAAGCCGCGGCTGAGGCGTTCCAGCTAGGTCTCCACCCCCCAGGCCAACCCCTTCCACGAGGGCCCCCCCCCAAGCGCGTGGCGCATTCGCGCCGCATCGAAGGTGAATCTAACCACAGCGGAGGAGAAGGAGGAGGAGGAGGAGATCGAGGAGGAGGAGATCGAGGAGGAGGAGGGGGAGGAGGAGGAGGAGGAGGAGGGGGAGGGCAAAGGAGGAGGAGGAGGCAAAGGAGAAGGAGGAGGAAGAGGAGGAGGAGGAGGAGGGGGGAGGAGGAGGACAAGGAGGAGGGGGGGAGGAGGAGGAGAAGCGGAGGAGGAGGGAGGAGGAGAGGAGGAGGGGAGGAGGAGGAGGAGGAGGAGGAGGAGGACGAGGAGGAGGAGGAGGAGGAGGAGGAGGAGGAGGAGGAGGAGGAGGAGGAGGAGGAGGAGGAGGGGGAGGAGGGGGAGGAGGAGGAGCCCGCGTGCTCGCCGTGCTGTGCTCAGACTCGGCGTTTCTCGGGAGCGAGGCGAGCCGCGGGCACGCCGCTAGCGGGCGTCGTCACCGGAGCCACCAGCCTCAAAGGTCTCCGCTCCGCCTGGGCCGCGCGTGCCCCTATCTAGGGGGCAAACAAACCTACCTCGCTTTTGACCACCCTCGCTTCCAAGAGATACCAGGCGATGCCATACTGCGGCCTGTACCTGTCGGGCCGCCCGACGAGGAGGCGCGTGGCATGACCTGGTGTTGCCTGGAAGCGAAAGCGGGGCAGGTAATTCACGCTCTGACCATGTGCTGGCTCGCAGGCAGCGCGGCGACAGAACAAGTCGCACTGTGCCCAAGCCTGCCTCGAGCTGGCAAGTCCAAGTGCGAGCAAGTCCGCCCGGTTCTGCCTTGACCCACGATGGCAGCAGCAGGGTAGTAGAAGATAGCTCAGAAACGTGGCGCAGAGCTTGGCTCAAGATCTACGTACTCCTGGAATGATAAGATGGCGAATTACTGTGGGTTCGATCGGCATCTTGCCCCGAAACGATGCAGATATTCTCAAAGACGGAATACCTGAGATTGCTCCGAAATCAAGAGACCACTTCGTGTGCGCCGCATGTTATGTCTCCCACCCTGGCCATGCCCCCGTCTCTGTGTACGCACTTCCCACCCAATGCTTCCTTACCCCAACTCCCTCGTCTCTCCGAAAACGTTTAGCGAGTGACAGCACGCTGCCGTTCCCCGACATGATTGCTTCCATTGAATACTTTCTCATGCCTCCTCTCCTCCTCCAATTCCATATCCGTTTGATGATCTCCCTTGCCCTGCAACTCATCATCCTATCCATCTTCCAACTGTTACTTGTACTTGGCAGCCTTCCGACAGTTACAGCTCCTGCTCTTCCTCCTCCTCCAGCTCCTGGACTGGCTCCTTGTCCTCATCCTCATCCACGTGGAGCCACTCCCCATCCTCTCCAACATCCTCACCGACTTCATCGTCCTCATCGTCGCCGGCCAACTCCTAATCATCCACCTCATCGTCGTCCTCCTCGACATCGTCGTCGCTTTTCCTCATCCTCCTCACCCTCTGGCTAGTCACCAACATCCCGGTAGCAACTGGGGGAACATAATCAGATCGGCACCGCTACTCCCCGCACCTCAATCGGCTTGCGTTCTGACCAAACTTTTGAGGCGAGTCCAGCCGTGGCGACGAGGGTCAAGACAGGCAATGAGGCACGCGGAGCGAGCCAGGGGCTCCGCGCGCCAGGGAGAGCGCAAGCAGCGCCGCCGAGAGGGCCCAACGCGCACCCAAGAGATCCGCGCGGCCCTCCGGATATTCATGCTTATCTGAGGTGCTTCTACCATCACTCGGATGTCCGTTCCCCGTTCAGGTGTTGGGGTCGTGCGCTTGCTTCCTCGAAGAATGACCCAAGCTGTTCTCCGACAGTCTCCGCCAAGAAAAATGCCCACGTCCGAGCGATGCCGATTTCTGTGGGCGAGCAACGACATATGTACATGTACGCCCTCCGCGGTCTTGCCTGCACGAACGTCCGCGTTGAACCGCACTCCAGGGGAAACTAACCGAGTACGTGTACATATGTTGCTGGCCTCTGATTCTGTTTCTCGATCCGGATGTCGGCGGGCTAGCTGCACATAGCGGCAAACATCGGCAACCATGGTAGCGGCAACCAGCGGCACACGGCCCGCACCAGCCGTGCACCAGCCCGCCGCTATTTATATTCGCCGGCGCAGTGCCCGCGAGACGCCAGAGAGGAAACCCTGCGGTGCGATTCGAGGCTGCGATCGACACAGAGCCGATGACTACCTACCAGACCACCCCAACCCAACCCGAAAATCCGAATTTCGGGTTGGGGGGGGTAAGGGTTCCACATGTGTTTTTTCGATGTTTCCCGACCCCTCCCCCCACACTGGAAATCGAGGGTAAATTTGAGCCTTCGGGTTGGGTTTGGGTGGATTGGTGGGTGGTGAGCCGAGGCTGCTCTGCGGGGGCGTCCAGGAGGAACGGGCCCTGCACCTTCCCCGACGGGTCGACGTACTGCCAGCCCGCGGGGGGGCAGGGCGCCAGCTGCGGGCCGGCGGCGACCTCCTGCCGGGTTGCCGCGCTCCGCTCCTCTCGTGCCGTCGCCCGCCGCGCCGCCCTGCTCTGCGATCTCGCCTCTCATCTGACTCTCTCTCTCTCTCTCTCTTTTTGTCTCTCTCTCTCTCTCTCTCTCTCTCTATCTATATCTATACCTATACGACCACCCTGCGGGTGATAAAGAGGTGAGAGGGGGAGGGGGGACCAACGTCTCACGCAATCGATATCGCTATCGATCTCACAATCGAGCTCACATTCGATATCACTATCGATATCACAATCGATCTCGCTTTCGATCTCACTATCGATATCACAATCGATCTCACAATCGATCTCACATTCGGTCTCACATTCGGTCTCACTGTCGATCCCACTATCGATCTCGCAATCGATCTCACAGTCGATCTCACATTCGGTCTCACATTCGGTCACACTATCGATCTCACAATCGATCTCACAATCGATCCCACATTCGGTCTCACATTCGGTCTCACTATCGATCTCACAATCGATCTCATTATCCATTTTCACTCTGCAATTTTCACTCGGCACCAGCATCATCATAATCATCATTACCATCATCATCTCACAATCGATCTGACTATCGATCTGACTATCGATCTCACAATCGATCTCACTATCGATATCACAATCGATCTCACATTCGGTCTCACTATCGATGTCACAATCGATCTCACAACCGACGTCATCATCATCATCATCATCATCATCATCATCATCAACACCATCTTCATCATCATCATCATCATCATCATTATCATCATCACCATCATCATCATCATCATCGCCATCATCACAATCATCATCATCACCATCATCATCATCATCATCATAATCATCCACATCATCATCGGGACACCGACGGGACACCGACGGGACACCAGCGAGACACCGGCGGGACACCGCGCGACACCGGCCGCCCGGAAGAGACACATTTGGTCCGGCCGCGCCTCAGCCACAGGGACACCGACGGGACACCAGCGGGGCACCGGCGGGACACCGCGCGCCACCGGCCGCCCGGAAGAGACACATTTGGTCCGGCCGCGCCTCAGCCACAGGGACACCGACGGGACACCAGCGGGGCACTGGCGGGACACCGCGCGCCACCGGCCGCCCGGAAACACATTTGGTCCGGCCGCGCCTCAGCCACAGGAGACTTTCCTCTCGGCTGCTCCTGCGCGAGCCCCAACTTCTTCTTCAGCTCCTCCTGCGCTGCCGTGAACCGCGCCCCCATGCCGACGTGGGCCGGCAAAACGCCGTGGATGTCCCCCGTCGTGTGCATGTTCGGGGCGTTCAGGAGGCGCCGACCCGCGTCGGGCTCGCCCTGAATCGCGCCGCACTCGTCAACGGCCTGCAGGAAAACGAGGGGCACGCCCAGACGCCGAGCGTCGCGACGAGCGCGCGCGTTGATCCACCTCGCCAGCGTCTCCCAGTATATGCCCATGCCGTAGCCGAGCCGAAAGTTCTCGTGCCGGTGCCGAGGGTCCAGGACGCCCTGGTTGTCCGTGGCCAACGTCTTCTCCCAGGCGGACCAGACCTCAGGTGGGAAGGGATTGCCCTCGCGCGTGCAGCCCAGGAGCGTGATCAGAGGGTCCCCGGGCTCGAAGCGCTTCGTGCCCTTCAGCTCGAAGACGCAGGGGATCTGAGAGAAGACCTTGATGGCGTGCTGGATCTCCACCGTCGGCGGGTCCGCGTACCTGTACGACTCGTCGTCGTCCAGGCGCTCGTTCACGTCCGTCAGGAGGCCAATGCTGCCGGTGGGCTTCAGCTGCAGGAAATCGCCGAGGTGCAGCACGATGGGCACGCGCCCGAAGTGGTGGTGTGGCCGCTGGTAGTTCGACTCCTGCACGTCGTGCGTGTCACTGCGTCCGTGGCAGGCGCGAAGGTCCAGCGCGTTGTACAGCGCGGCCGCCACCATGCTTATCTCCTCCTTGTTGCATCCAAAATGTGGCCTGGGAGCTGCGTTCTGGCAGCGCGAGAACCCAAAATTGACGACAGTTACAGGTTTTGGATGACCCGCTCGGATTACCAACGTGATCTGCGGGCCCCATAGGGAGGGAGCTCCCGCCTGAGACTTCCTCGCAGTTCACTCACAGACGAGGCTCCCGCCTGAGACTTCCTCCACATTCAGGCTTGAGGAGCCCAAAAGTGACGACAGTTACAGGGTTCCGATGAGCCGCTCGGATTACCAACATGATCTGCGGGCCCCATAAGGAGGGGGCTCCCGCCTGAGACTTCCTCACAATTCAATCAGAGACGAGGCTCCCGCCTGAGACTTCCTCCATATTCAAGCTTGATGAGCCAAAAGGTGACGACAGTTACAGGGTTCCGATGACCCGCTCGGATTACCAACATGATCTGCGGGCCCCATAGGGAGGGGGTTCCCGCCTGAGCCTTCCTCAAAATTCACTCACAGACGAGGCTCCCGCCTGAGACTTCCTCCAAATTCAAGCTTGAGGAGCCCAAAAGTGACGACAGTTACAGGGTTCCGATGACCCGCTCGGATTACCAACATGATCTGCGGGCCCCATAGGGAGGGAGCTCCCGCCTGAGACTTCCTCCCAATTCACTCACAGACGAGGCTCCCGCCTGAGACTTCCTCCATTTTCAGGCCTGGGGAGCCCAAAAGTGACGACAGTTACAGGGTTCCGATGACCCGCTCGGATTACCAACATGATCTGCGGGCCCCATAGGGAGGGGGCTCCCGCCTGAGACTTCCTCACAATTTACTCAACGATGATGAGGATGAGGATGATGAGTGGTGGTGAAGATGAGTGGTGAAGAGGATGATGATTGATTGTGAGTGGTGGTGGCGATGATGATGTTTGAATGAGGATGATGCCGATGCCGATGATGATGATGATGATGATGTTCGTGAGCGTGTGAGAGAGTGCGAGTGATGATGATGATGAGTATGTGAGTGACTAAGCATGTGAGAGAGCATCATCGATGATGCTGATGAGGTTGATGATGAGAGAGTGCGAGTGAGTGTGAGTGTGTGTGTGTGTGTGTTCCTGTTCCTGCGCGGGGTGTCCAGAAAAAACAAGAACCCCACTTTGGATGTGGGGAATAACTATCCTTCAAACATGAAGGTTCAACAACAACAACAACAAGCAATGTACCACGGTCTGTTGTTACTGGCGCGTGCGTCTTGCATTCAGCATACCCCAACCCTCGACACCCGCCCACTTCGTTTTCGATTGCACCCCCTGTCGGGGGGGGATATCTTCCTTGTCGGCCACTGATGGAACTTCGAAAATACATTTCGCGCGAGGGCGCCGTTCCTGAGTTCGGATCCTCTCTGGCCAGGGGCTCTCGGAATACCTGCGGCAAAAATCGAACGCGAGTTTTTGTCGCCGCGTCCAAAACTCCACCAACTTGCCCGAATTGCGGGGGAACTCTCGAGCGAGATCGCCGCTCCTGAGATCGGGGGCCTTCTTGGCCAGGGGCTGTCGGAGTAAATCGTGAAGAAGGGTCAAGCAGGAGCCCTTGTCGTCGTTGCTGGGCCTCCGCCAACTTAATTGAATTGCGAAAAGGTCTCGAGCGAGAGCGCCGTTCCTGAATTCGGGGCCTCTCTGGCCACGGTGTCTCCGGGCAAAGTGTGAGGAAGTATCGAGCGGGGCACGTCGCTGTCGTAGCCGCGCGTCCAGTGGCCCACATTTACGCTCGAGCCAACGCTCGAGCGGGAGCCTCGTCGTCAGAAAGAAAATGTAGGCAGCGTCGAGGCGAAAGCGCGCGAACCTTTTTTTTCCGGAAACCAGCACTGCATATAATTTAGACATAAGTACCCAACACGAACGCTAACAATGATTTCACCATCGCGCGCCATGCTCCCACGCGTCAGACGCATCCTTCCGGAGGCCGCGCCCCATCGCGGGGGGTGTATCTGGCTCGCGGGGTCCGCCACTTCGTCGCCCATCATCCCGCCCACGAAAGAATTGCCACCGCCTGTTCCGAGGAACTTCGACATCCACAGCTCGGGCGGCACATCGCCATCGCAATCGCGTCGCGCGCGACCCGCATCTCCGAGGAGGAGGAAATGGATGAGGAGAGGAGGGAAGATAAGGGAGAGGAAGAGGGAGAGGAGGAGGAGGAGGAGGAGGAGGAGGAGGGAGTAGGAGGAGGAGGGGGAGGAATAAGGAGTAGTTGTAGTAGCAGTACCTCCGAGGACGAGGTGGTTCTAACTCCTCGTTCGAACTGTTGCGCCACCATCCTGCGGCCTCGGCGCGTGGCCCTGAACGTTCACGCCCCCAGGCGCTGCCGCTCCAATGCTCGCATCCTCCACGTGCCCCTCCACACCCACTCGAGGAATCACTGAAGTCAACCATTCGACCCTCGATCCTTGGAGCCCCTGGAAGTCATCCGTCCTCCTTTGCCTCCTCCTCCTCCACATTATCTACGCTTTCCAAACCACGACAAGTATTTAATACTTAAGGTTCTAAAGGGACTCGTGGGAGCCCCCCAGAGGCGATGCCGAAATGAGGGCCCCAGACTTGAGAAAAAGGTTAGGAAATATCAAAAGGGAGCGACGAAGGAGGACGGAAGGGGAACGGAAGAGGGAGGAGGGAGGAGGGAAACAGGACGAGGGAGGAGACAAGGGGGGCGACAAGGGAAAGGAGGAGGGAGGAGGAGGAAGGAGGGACGGAAAAGGAGGGAGAAGGGAGACGAGGAGGGGATGGAGGGAGGAAAAGGGAGGAAGAGAAAAGGGGAAGGAGGGAAAGGGAGGAGGCGGAGGAGGAGGAAAATGAGGAGGAGGAGAGGGAGGAGAAGGAGGAGGGAGGACGAGGAGGAGGAGGAGCAGGGGGAGGAGGAGAGGGAGAAGGGGGGAGGGAAAAGGAGGGAGGAAAGAGGGACGGAAGAGGGAGGAGGGACAAGAGGAGGGGGTGGAGGAAGGAAGAGGGAGGAAGAGGAGGGAGGGGGGAGGAGGAGGAGGAGAAGGAGGAGGATGAGGAGGAGGGGGAAGAGGAAAGGGCGCCAGTCCAGCGTAAAACGGGAGGAGGTCTCGGGCGGGAACGCTGGTTTTGTCGGGACGGGGGCTGTCGGCGGCGAGCAAGAGCACCGCCTTGAGTAAAAAAGGAGGAAGTCTCGAGCGGAAGCGTTGTTGTTGCTGGAGGGCGGCGCCGATGAGAGAAAGAATAGCGCGCTTGTTCAAGGTAAAACGGGAGGAAGTCTCGAGCGGGGGCGCTGGTTTTGTTGAGACGGCTGCTTTCGGCGGCGAGCAAGAGCACGGGCCCTGAGTAAAAAAAAGGAGGTCTCGAACGGGAGCGCAGTTGTTGTTGTGGGGACGGTTTTGGCGGTCTCCCAAACCACTTGAGAATGAGCCTCATGTTCGATGACAATGCAGCCGGCGCCTCGGCGAGAGCGCCAGCGCGCCTGTAAGGGGTCCAACACAAATAGTTCTTTAGTAATTAACATTCAACAAAAGCAGCAACAACCACAACGATAACGACAACGACAACAACAACAACCACAACAACAACAACAACAACAGCAACAACTGCTGCAACAACACCAACAACAACGCAACAAGCATATTCCTCACCACGAAATCGCTGTTCAGCTACGCACCCAGGGACAATGAATGACCTCTCGGCCCCCTCACTCTGATACGTATATATAATATGTCGTCCTCTATCGCTCACGCTTTCTCTCTCTCTCTCTCTCGCTATCTCTCTCTCCCTCTCTCTCTTCCTGTATGTGCTCTCTCCCTCTCTCTCTCTCTCGCCCCTCCCAACATATATACACACATGTACGTGTTGCTGTCGCTCCCCATATCCCCTCTACATCTCACGCGTGCCGCACTTCATATTTAGGACTACGATATCCGCATACATTAGTCTCAAACATATACATATATACGTATGAATATGTTTGCGTTGTATGCTTCTCTCCAGCCATATACTTATATGTATCTCCCCATGTTATCAAGCCCTCTCTCTCTCTCTCCTCTTCGCCATCGCTCTATATCTCGCTCAGCTCGCTCTCTCACTCTCTCGATTCCTCTCTCTCTCTCTGTCTCTCGCTCTCTCTGTCTCTCTCTGTCTCTCTCTCTCTCTCTCTCCCTCTCATACAGACCTATATCCATATACATATATATATATATATATATATATACATGCTCGCGTTACTTATATCTCCACCACCGTGCTCTCGATCAAGCGTTGGAGTGTCATCAGGCTCCTTCCTCGACCCCCGGAGCCTCAGTCCTCCATCCTGAGGAGCGTTCCGGGCGCCCGGACCCCGCACTGCCAAATCTCCTGTCGAAGCCGTCCCCTGCCTCAGCGTCCTGGCTGCACCAGCGTGCCTCCCTGCCCTGCTCTGCCGCCCCCCGCCACGACGCGCGCGGCCGCCGCCCCGGTGCGGCGGGGTCTCCGGGATGGCGGCCCTGGGCGGCACCACCTCGGGGCTGTCTCGCCTCGATCGCCTCTCCTGCCTCGCCTCGGGCTCCCCCTCCGAGCCGTTGGGCGCCGCCTCGATGGCGACGCTGAGGGCCTGCGGGGGCCGCGGGACGCCAGGAAGCCTCGGTCCCCGATCCAGCATCGGAAGCATCGGGCGGGCATACTGTGAGGAGGAGGAGGAGGAGGAGGAGAAACAGGAGGAGGAGGAGGAGGAGGAGGAGGAGGAGGGGAGGAGGAGGGGGAGGACAGTTGTGCCCTCAGAGGGGGGCTCCACGGCTTCGGGAAGAAGAAGAGGAGGGGGAGGGGAGGAGGAGGAGGAGGAGGAGGAGGAGGAGGAGGAGGAGGAGGAGGAGGAGGAGGAGGAGGAGCAGGAAGAGGGGAGGAGGCATAGGATGAGGGGGAGATGAGGGAGGAGGAGGGGGAGGAGGAGGAGGAGGAGCAGGAGGGGGAGATAGGGGAGGAGGAGGAGAAGCAGAGCAGGAGGAGGAGGAGGAGGAGGAGCAGGAGGAGGAGGAGGGAGGAGGAGGAGGAGGAGGAGGAGGAGGGAGGAGGAGGAGGAGGAGGAAGGAGCAGGGGCCCGCAGGCAAAGAGAGCCCCGGGGAGGAGAGAGCCGGCGGCGCCCTCAGCAGGTCCGCGCTCGTCCAGGGTCGGAGGCCTCCTGGGCGCACTCCCGGACCTGGCGGCCCCGACACGCAGCACGCAACACGCAGCGTACGGCAGGCTCGCGTCGTGTCGACCTCCTCCTCCTCCTCCTCCTCCTCCTCCTCCTCCTCCTCCTCCTCCTCCTCTCCTCCTCCTCCTCCTCCTCCTCCTCCTCCTCCTCCTCCTCCCACTCCCACTCCTCCTCCTCCTCCTCCTCCTCCTCCTCCTCCTCCCCCATCTCCGGAGCGCTCTCAAGCGTTCCCAGGCGCTCCCAGGCGCTCCAAGGCGCTCCCAAGCGCTCCCAAGCGTTCCCGACACGCAGCACGCAACACGTAGCGTACGGCAGGCTCGCGTCGTGTCGACCCCGGCGTTGGCTCCTGACACCGCGGGGATCGTTCAAGCTCGAACGATCGGCCCTCTCAAAAGAGCCCGATAGTTTCAAGGATGGGCCGATGGAGGGCCACGGGCGGCGTTCCACCTCACAAGCCCGCGCTGGGGCCGCCGCCAGTCGACACGACGCGAACCGGCCGCACGGGGCTCAGCACGCAGAATGTCAACGCCGACGACGGTCCAGCCCAATGCGCTCGCCAAAGCGTGGGCCAACACGCGGAGCCAGCACGCAGCGTGTCGACACGGACCTTTGGAGCCCGGCACGTGCTGCGCTTCGAAACGGGCGGGCCAGGGCAGCGCAGCTCCAGAGCGGACGCCCTCCCGGGGAACCAACGAGGCGCCGATACCACTGGTCCCCAGACCTCTCCCAGGGTGCGTGCTGGCCAGGATCCCGACGCGAATCCAGCGGTGGTGGCGAGGGCCTCCCACAGGGGAACGAAAAATGACATGAACATGAACAACTCGGAGGTCCGCGCGAATGTCTTGGATCCGCGCGGGACCCCCCTGCCTGGCGCGCGGAGCGCGCCAGGGGCGGCGCCAGAGGCGCCGCCGGGGGCCCCAGCGCGGATCCGAGAAATCCGCGGGACCTCCGAGTCTTTATGTTTATGCCACTTTCTGTTCCCCTAGTCAACGCCCCTCTAACGGGGACTCCACTGACGGGTACTTTGGCCAGTGGCCCGGCGAACCCAATCCTCCCCGATGTGGGCAGCGCTGCGATGCCAGAAGGAGGCCCTAAAGTGGCAACGTTCGGCAATTTTGCAAAGTACCCGTGAGTGAGTACCCGTGACGGCGCCGCTGACCCAGTGGTGGCGGAACCCTAAATAAGGAACGAGGGCCCTTTTTTTTCCATAAGTTAGACTTCGACTTCCGATCGAAAACATGAGGAACACCTGAGGCGAGCTGTGGAACACCTCAAGGAACGCGGAGCCCCGCCCCAACCAAAAGGGTTCCTTCTTCAGGGCCCCGACTGTAGTGGTGGCGAGGGCCTTCCGGGAGGCCCAACAAAAAGAGTCCCCCTCCGAGGCGCGCGGCACGCGCTGCGCGATCCGACACGGGGCGCGGCCGGGCACCCGAGCACGCTCCTCCGGGAGAGCGTGCGCCCTCGAGCGGGGGCCGCCGCCGCGGGCGGCCTCCCGGGGGATTGCGCGCACGGGCGGGGGCGGCCCACGGCGGCGGCCGCGGCGCCAGCCGCCGCCCTCCGCGGGGCCAAGGGCGGCGCGGAGGGGGGGCGCGGGCGCGGAGCAGACCAGTGGCTCCCCAGCTTCGCGCCCTCGCAGACTGCGCGAGGGCGCGAGGGCGCGAAAAAACCTCGCGCCCTCTCGCGCCGCCTCCCAGGGGAGAAGCGGAGGGCGAGGAGGCAAATCGGAGCCGAAGCGCGAGGCGCGAAGCGCGGATAAACTCCGCGCCCCCGAGGGCGCCCCTGCTCCGCGGGGCAGGGGCGGCGGCGCGGAGGGGGCGCGGACGCGGAGCGGACGGCCTGGCTGGGCCGGGGTGGAGGAGCGGGAGCCGGGCGGAGCGGAGCAGCGCCGAGGACCCGACGACGTACCTGTTGAAGCATGGATGCAGCCAGGGGCCCCCATCGAGGACGACGGGCGGATCGGGCGTGCGAGACCTGCTCACGAGTCTGCATGGGCGGTGTGGGGAGATACCTCTGGCAAACGCGGGACCCCATGCGGGGAACGGCACTGGGGACTCGCCCATGCAGTCAACCGCCGTGTGGGCCAGAGGCGACCGCCGAAGGACGAGGAGGAAGAGAAGCAGGCCCGTCTCGGAGGTCAACCTCCTCGTCCTCCGCTTCCTCCCGCGTTCTAAGTGTTGCACGGTGAAGCTTGACTCGAGGCTGTCGTTGAGCCGTCGAGCAACTATCTTGAGGGCGTCTCGGACCGCTGGTCGGAGTGGGGGGGGCTGGGAGGCCCCCACGTCAGCACATCAGTCCAGTTGCACAATTCAACTTGACGCGAGGCTCTCTTGGAGCCCACGCACGGTGCAACTCCCTGGGGGATCCTACCGAAGGTCATTTAAGGGCAAGCCGTGCCGTCCTGCGCCACAGCGCTCTATGTCCTCACCCTTCCGGGTCCCATTCTCTCCATCATTCCTCGCCGTCTGACGTCCAACCGTCCACCGTTCTCTGTTCTCCCCCATCGTTGCGGGCCGACAGCGCTGTGGTCCACAAAGCCGCACTGCAGAGGAATACGTTTCTCCTCTCATTCCTACGATGGCGATCCACCCTACTGAACATCGTTTGACCGATCCCTATCCCACGGGCGTGGCCTGAGCCCCATTGGCCGATGTCCTTCCCTAGATGGGGATATAGGCTGTTCCCGTCGTTCTTTGAAGGACATATCCCCAGCTGGGTCGGTGGGATGGTGGGGATCGGGATGGGGATAAAGATGGGGATAGGGATCGGTCAAACGATGCCTTCCTACCGTGGAGCAGGTCCCAACGTCACCCCTGGGGGTGTCGGTCCGTGCTGTGCGAGAGCAGGTGTCCCGTGTCACCTCTGAGGTGGCGATCTGCCCTGCTGTGGAGCACGCCCCCCTCCGTCGTCGCGCCATCATGCCCATGTCCCTCTCCTGTCTCTTCCCGTCATTACTTCCCGTCTTCCTGTCGTTCGTTCCGTCCTCAGTCTACATAACTACATACATAAATATAACAATGTGTATATGTATGTGTGTATGTATGTGTGTGTGTCGTCTGAGCGGCTCTAACCGCAATGCTGGCCCGACCCCCCCGACGGGAGGTAGGCTCAGCATGGCGACGAGATCCCACAGAACCGCCCTGCAGTGGACACAGCATCACGCATACGGTGGCGATGCGTACGTCACGCTGGGAAGCATGATGTACGTATCGCCACCATCGGTCAATCAACATCGAATCGGACTCGGTAAAGCAAGATCAACCAACAACGAATCGGAATTGGTCGGATCGGGATGCGCGGCGGAACGGGTCGCAACGGCACGGAGTCGAAGTCGAATCGGACAAGCTCCACCAGGATGCACAACAACGCCATGCAGGAATCGAGCCACATGGGATCGCCCGACATTCAATATCGAGGTGGATCAAGCCGGGCGAGGTCTGCGTCGAATGGGGCCCTGGTGGTGATCCGTTCTGCTGTACAGCGGGATCCCATTCGTCGTCGCGTCATCGTCCCAAGTCGGTGTCCTCAGCTACACCCCGTCTCCCCCTGCCAGCCTCACCAGCAGGGGTGGCCGCGCGCTTGACGACACGTGCCACCGCCGCAGGAGGCTGTCTTGGGGGCTTCCCCCGAGGAGGAGGAGGAGCAGCAGAAGGAGGAGGAGGAGTAGGATGAGGAAGGAACGAGCAGGGAGGGAGAGGGACAGGGTCGAAAGGGAGGAGGAGGAGAAGGAGAAGGAGGAGAAGGAGGAGGAGGAGGAGGAGGAGGGGGAGGAGGAGGAGGAGGAGGAAGGGGAGGAGAGAAAGCACCCGCGGGAGGCCCACACCCGAGGAGCCCCCTAAGTCAAGTGGTGCACGGTGCAGCTCGACCCGATGCTTCCTTGTAGTCCCCTGGTATCTCTCTTCGGGGGCGCCTCTGTCGGGGCACTAGCATCAGGTCGAGCGTGTCCCCCTACAGGCGGATTTTGGATGGACAAAAAATCCCAAACACATTCGAATTGTCAAACAATCGTCTCAATATATGAAAAATATGTTTGGATATCCGCTCCGTAGAAGGACAGACCCGACTTGACGCTGGCACAAGCCTCCCAGGGGTGTTCGGCAGGGGCGCCGCCGGAAGCGCCGCTAGGGAGCCCAGAGCCGATCCGCGCGGAATTCCAAGTTTTTATGGTTATGTCACTGTTCATTCCCATAGTTTCGTGAGCCTGATTGATGGCACACGTAAAACAATCAATCACCTGGCATCTTCTATCCTCGACCCTCCCACTGGTTTCCTCTCTCACTCCCCTTCGTCCTCCCTCCCTCTCCTTCTCCCTCTTTCTGGCCCTCCTTCATCCCTCATTCTCTCCCTCCCTCCCTCCATCGCAGTCGTCTTTGCCCGTCACCGTCGCCGTTGTCGTCACCACCGCCACCGTCGTCGTCATCCTCCTCTTGCCTCTGCCCCTCTCTCCTCCACACTCATGCCTCTAAACGCTTCGATCCTCCTCCTCCTCCTCCTCGACACTCTTCCTCCTCCTCCTCCTCCTCCTCCTCCTCCTCCTCCTCCTCCTCCTCCTCCTCCTCCTCCTCCCCCCTCCTCCTCCTCCTCTCCTCCTCCTCCTCCCTCCTCCTGCTGGAGCAGCAGCGGGTCCTCTCCTCCTCCTCCTCCTCCTCCTCCCTCCTCCTCCTCCCCCTCCTCCTCCTCCTCCTCCTCGATACTCCGCCTCGATGCACCTCCTCCTCCTCCTCCTGCTCCAGTCCTCCCGCCGGAGCAGCCGCGGGCCCGCGCCTGGGGCGCCCAGTGGCTGGCGTCCCAGAGCTCCTCGGCGAAGAGGCCCTCGTCGCCGAGGGAGTCCTCTCGGGGGGGGGGGGGGGGGGAAGGCGAGCCCCTCGCGTGAAGTCGGGCGTGTCCCCCTAAAGGGGGATCTCGGGCGAAAAATTGAAAAGTACCCCCATACATGTTCAAACATATGCAAAAATTAGCCCCCCAGGCTATTTCTTGACCATGTTTGAATCGTCCCCCTGTAGAGGAACAGGCCCGACTTAACCCTCGCGCCTGGACGACACACGAAGTCCACAGGGGCTCCCAGCTTCGCGCTCCGCGCTGCGCGAAGTGCGAATCACTGAGCGCTCTCCTCTCGCGCCGCCTCCCAGGGGAGAAGAGGAGGATGAGGAGGAATCGGAGCTGCAGCGCGAAGCGCGAAAAACTTCGCGCCCTCGAGGGCGCCCCTGATTCAAGGACACGCCGTGGTGGGGAGCCCTTCGGCGGCAACTCGTGGGAGCACGCCATCCCATCTTGTTGTCGGCCTTTGCCTTTGCGACTCGACGCTAATCGACGCTGGTCGACACTAATCGACGCAAGATCGACGCTCACCGACGCTAGAGCGGCGCTACCTCATCGCCTCCCGGACGCTCATCGACGCTAGTCGACGGAAGTGCGCAGGTGCACAGAGCACCCATGATTAGACGAGCGCGTTCCACTACTCGCAGAGTGACTACTCGCAATATTGGTCTGGATCCGCCGCGGGGGATCTACGCTGTATTACACCAAGGCAGACGTACGGTCTTTCGCACGTTCACGAGTGGGCACTTTGCGAGTAATGGAACTTGGGTGTCCCAAAACCGTGTGGTGACAGACCCGGCGGCGACCTCGAAATCCCCAAAGACCTCACCGCACGGTCCGTCACCGCACGGTCTTGGGACCCCGGAGGCTCCAGTCGCCCGAGACGTCCTCGGAGAACGACCTCGAGCCCCAAAACCGTGCGGTGACCCCGAATCCCCACCGACTCACCACCACGGTGTGGTCACCGCCCCGTTTGGGAGCCCCCGAGGTATCTGGTCGGGCGTAAGGGGGGGATAGCACAGGGGGGGTTTGAGAATCAGCTCACGTAGCTGATTTTCCCAGCGCCTCCCGGCGCCGGAGGCGGCTATGTATCGAGGAATGGGCCGCTCGGTGAGGCCGAAACCAGCTGCATGCAGCAAATTTCGTAACCCCCCCTTTCCCAATCCCCCCTTTCGTCCGGCCCGAGAGTAATGAAGCGCCCGCGGCGAAGGATCCTCGCGACCGGAGAGGCCCGGGCTGCCGGGCGAACGCGCAAGGCGAACACTGTGCCGACGGGCCCCCCGACGGCGGGAGCCGTGGCCAAAGGGGAGCCGTCCGGGGCGGGGACAGCGAGCCCCCTCCGCGTCCTCCTCCTCCTCCTCCTCCTCCTTCTCCTTCTCCTTCTCCTTCTCCTTCTCCTTCTCCTTCTCCTTCTCCTTCTCCGCCTCCGCCTCCGCCTCCGCATCCGCCTCCGCCTCCGCCTCCGCCTCCGCCTCAGCCTCCGCCTCCGCCTCCGCCTCCGCCTCCGCCTCCGCCTCCGCCTCCGCCTCCGCCTCCACCTCCGGACACCCGGACACACAGACACAATTAACCGTCGATCCCCAGGAAAAATATGGGAAGATATGGGAAGTGGGGGGGAGGGAAAACACTCAGAAAATATGGGAAAAGATGGGGAATCTTGGGGAACCCGTCCGACGGCGACCCGTCGTCGTCGTCGTCGCCGTCGCCGTCGTCGTCGTCGTCGTCGTCGTCGTCGTCGTCGTCGTCGTCGCCGTCGTCGTCGTCGTCGTCGTCGTCGACGTCGTCGAGGTCGTTGTCGTCATCGTCGTCGACGTCTTCATCGTCGGCGTCGACGGCGCCGGCGACGACGGCGAGGCCGCCCCCCCTTCGGAGGAGCGCGCCAAGGAGAGCCCACAGCTCCTGTGCCTGGCCCGCCGTGGGGGGGGGGAGCGAGAGGCGTCGTGGGCCCGTCGTGGAGGCCCTCGTGGAAGCCTCGGGGAGGCTGCCCGTGGACGTTCTTTTTTTTGGGTTGGGGCTCGCTCTCCGCCTCGCGGGTTGGCCAGCACGATCGGCCGAGGCCCCAGATTGGGGGGCTTTGGCGAGGAGCCGGATGAGGAGGTCCTCGTCGGAAGGCTTCAGGAGGATTGCGTCCCCTTGGGGGGCTGTTAGGCCGGAGTGGGCCTCGGATGAAGCGGAATTGAGCCAGATTAAACGGGACCACGCGCGATTAAGCGGGAGGCGGCGGCGCTTCTCAGGAGGCCTCAGGCCTGCTGGGAGGTGTTCTGCGCCTCCGGGAAGGGCTGAGAAAACGTCTCAGAAGGCCGGGGAACCTTAGAGCATTCTGAGAAGGCCCGCCACTTCTCACTTCCCCCCGGCTCGCCGCCGGCTATCGGTATCGTTTAACCGATCTCCCCATCCCCTATCCCCATCCCCTTCGAGACCCCCACCAAATTACCCCCCCAGTTGGGGATACCGCCCCCCAAGTCACCCCAACTCCCCATCTGGGGGGGTAACTTGGCCAGTGTGCCGGAAGCCTGGTGCTCCTCTGCAGTGTCACGGTGATGAGTCAGCGGCGAGGGGGGGGGAAGTGAGAGGGAGAAGGCCTTCTCAGAAGGCAGCGGGGCCTCTCAGAAGCCCTCCCCGGCCTTCTCAGACCTTTTATGTGTCTCCAGGGGAAGGCCTGCGACACGTCTCAGAGAAGGCTGCGGGACTTCCGGGTCTTCTGAGAAGGGCCGCCCCTTCTCGCTGCCCCCCCTGGGCTTGCCGCTAAGCCTTGGTTTCGGATGCAACTCTTGGGAGGTCAAATACAGATTTTGCCCTGGTCCGAAGTCCTGCTTCATCCGGTTTACATCCAGCTGAATCCCGAGAAGGCCTTCTTCTCACTTTTCCCCCCCTTTCTCGCTGCCGCATTCAGTTCTTGTGTCATACCTCCGGTCTCCAGCGGGCGGTCGGGACGATCCGGGCACCCCCAGAACGCCCGCGGCGAGGCGCAGCTGCTTGCAAGCATCCCGAGGCTGGAAAACCGCCGACAACCGACGAACACGTCTGAAAGCCACGAACCTCGAACCCAAAAATTCCCGCCCATCGCTCGACGCCGAAATAGAAAGGAAATAAATCCTTTTACTGAGCCTTGGGGGAAGCAAAAACATGATCGACCCACGAACCCGGAAAGGAATATAGAAATGTAACGCATGACAACATTTTCGAAGACACCTGATTGGGTGACGGGCAAGTGCAATGCTGATTGTATCGATCTTGATGTACAGTGCCGAAGTATGTGCTGTGCTGCACCGTGCTGAATTGCGATGTGCCATGCCGCGGTTGTGCTCTATAGCGTCGTGGATCGAGTCTTCCTTCGCATCCGAGTCCTGACCGAAGTGATCTGGATCTTAAGCTCGAGCTGCCTGAACACATAGTAGCTGCCCCAGAGCTAATTGACAGGGGGACATGCCATGTGGACGCGCCACGAAACGTCCCAAGGGACGCGCCAGGCGACGTGCCAGGGGACGTGGCATGGGGTCGCACCGCGGGACGTGCCAAGAGGACGCGCTACGGAACGTGCCAATGGATGTGCCACGGAATGTACCAGGGGACGCGCCACGCGACGTGCCAGGGGGACTCGCCAAGGGACGCCACACGGAACGTGCCAAGGAACGTGCCAGGTTGCAATGCTGAGTGTATCGATCTTGATGTACCGTGCCGAGGTCTGTGCTGTGCTGCACCGTGCTGCATTGCGATGTGCCATGCCGCGGTTGTGCTCCATAACGTCGTGGATCGAGTCCTCCTTTGCATCTGAGTCCTGACCGAACTGATCTGGATCTTAAGCTCGAGCTGCCTGAACACATAGTATCTGCCGCAGAGCTAATTGACAGGGGGACATGCCAGGAGGACGCGCCGCGGAACGTCTCAAGGGACGCGCCAGGCGACATGCCAGGGGACATGCCATGGGGACGCACCACGGGACGTGCCAAGGGGACGCGCTACGGAACGTGCTGGGGACAAGCGTTTCGCTCGAGACACCCTGTCAAAATCCTCATTCTAGACATCCGCCTGAGCGACCTGGACACGTGAAAACAAACGTTTCACTCAACACATCCTCAACACATTCTCATGCTAGACATCCGCCTGGGCGAACTGGACACGTGAAAACAAGGTTCGCTCGAGACATCCTCAACACATCTTCATGTGAGACGTCCGCCTGGGTGACCTGGGCACGTGAAAACAAGCGTTTCGCTCCAGACGTTTTCAACACCTCCGCATTCTAGACATCCGCCTTGGCGACCTGTACACGTGAAAACAAACGTCTCGCTCGAGAAATCCTCAACACATCGTCATGTTAGACATCCGCCTGGGTGACATGGACACGTGAAAACAAGCGTATCTCTCGAGGCATTCTCAACACATCCTCATGCTAGGCATCCGCCTGGGCAACCTGGACACGTGCAAACAAGCATCTCGATCGAGACTTCCTCAACACCTCCTCATTCTAGACATCCGCCTGGGCGACGAGGACGCGTGAAGCCAAGCGTCTCGCTCGAGACATCCTCAACAAATCCTGGCGCTTGACCTCTGTCTAGGCAACCTGGAGGCGTGAGGCCACGCGTCTCGCTCGAGACATCCTCAAGACCTGGGCACGTGAAAACAAGCATTGCACTTGAGAGATCCTCTGAATTCAGGTCCCCAGGACAGGACAAGCTATAACACAAAACAAGCATTTCGCTCGAGACATCCTCAACAAATTCTGAACAACACGCGTTTCGCTAGGGACATCCTGAATTTTTAATTCGCCGGCCCTCTTCCCATTGTTATGTTTCGAAAAAAGAAATCCGCCGGCCCTCTTCCCGTCAGACCCGGGGGTAAACCTACTTAAAGAGAACCCTGGGCCTGAAGCCCTTTCCGGGAAGAAGAAGCAACGTCATGACAACCTGACGCCCACGGCGACAGAAGCCTCTAAAAGAGTGCTGAAGGGAACAGTGACGGGCACACAACAAATCCCAGGATTCCCCATATTTCCCAATATGTTCAGAGTTTGC